TAGATTTATACTACATATATTCCATGTTCTTATTATTAATGGATATCTACAGATATTTCTGCTCATTTTGAGTTGTGAGCCCTCACCCCCATCAGCAGTGAAGGTCCCTAGCTTGACTCCATTCAAGTCATTAGGGTCCACTCTATTTTGAGTTTACTACATCTGTGGAAAGAAACAGTGGAAGAGCTACATATGTACACTCGCTCATCACCAAAATACAGCCAATTTACTCATACACAAATTCAGGTTGAAGCTGAAAAAAATTAGACCAAGTCCACAGGAGTTAATCTATGACTCTGAATATATCCCACTTGAATTTAGAAATCCTCTGAAGAACAGATTTGATGCATCAGACACTAAAGAGCAAAGAGCAAATGAGTTGTAGGATGACATCAGGAACATCATATAGGAAGAAAGCAAAGGTCACTGAGAAGACAAGAAAGAAGGAAAATATCAAAACGGATGTCAGAAGAGACTCTGAAACTTGCTCTCCAGTGTAGGGATGCTAAAGCAAATGAAGACGTGAGGAGGTACAAGAGCTGAACGGAAAAATTCAGAGGTCAGCTCGAGAAGACAAAGTCAAACACTATAATGAAATGTGCAAAAACCTGGAGTTACAAAACCAAAAGGGAAGAACATGCTCAGCATTTCTCAAGCTGAGGGAACTGAAGAAAAAATTCAAACCTCGACTTGCGGTTTTGAAGGATTCTATGAGCAAAATACTGAATGGTGCAGAAAGCATCAAAAGAAGATAAAGGAATACACAGAGTCACTGTACTAAAAAGAACTGGTTAATGTTCATCCATTTCAAGAGGTAGCATATGATTAAGAGCCAAAGATACTGAAGGAAGCAGTTCAAGCTGCACTGAAGTCACTGACAAAACACAAGGCACTGGGAATTGATGGAATACAAAGTGAAATCTTTCAATAAACTGATGCGGCACTGGAGGCACTTGGTCATCTATGCCAGGAAATTTGGAAGACAACTACCTGGCCAACAACTATATTTGTGTCCATTCCAAAGAGAGGTGATCCAACAGAATGTGGAAATCATCGGACAATATCATTGCTATCCCATGCGGGTAATGTTTTACTAAAGATAATGCAAGAATGGCTGCAAGCATACATTGACAGAGAACTTTCAGAGGTTCAAGCCGGATTCAGAAGAGGACGTGGAATGAGGTATATTATTGCTGATGTAAGACGGATCTTGGCTGAAAGCAGAGAATACCAAAAAGATGTTTACCTGTGCTTTATTGACGACGCAAAGGCTTTCAATTGTGTGGATCATGACAAGTCTGGACAACATTGCGAAGTATGAGTATTCCAGAACACTTAATTGTGCTCATGAGAAACTGTAAATAGACCAAGAGACAGAACAAGGGAATACTGAATGGTTTCAGATTAGTAAAGGTGTATGCCAGGGTTGTATTCTTTCACCATACTTATTCAATCTGTATGCTGAGCAAATAATCGGAGAAGCTGGAGTATATGAAGAAAAATGTGGCATTAGGGTTGGAGTAAAGCTCATTAACAACCTGTGATATTGCTTGCTGAAAGCAAAGAGGACTTCAAATACTGATGAAGATCAAAGACCACAGCCTTCAGTATGCATTGCATCTCAATGTAAAGAAAACAAAAATCCTCACCACTGGACCAATAAACAACATCCATATAAATGGAAAAAGACCGAAATTGTCAAAGACTTCATTTTGCTCGAATCAAACATGAACACTCATGGAAACAGCCGTCAAGAAATCAAATGATGTACTGCATTAGGCAAATCTGCTGCACAAGACCTCTTGCTTCTTTAAAATGTTCAAGAGCAAAGATGTCAGTTTAAGGACTAAGGTGCTCCTGACCCAAGCCATGTTTTTTTAAAAAATAATCTCATATGCAAGCAAAAGTTGAGTTACGGTGTTGGGAGGAGAAAACTGAAAGTACCATGGACTGCCAAAAGAACCAATAGCTCTGTGTTGGAAGAAGGACAGCCAGAGGGCTCTTTGGAAGCCAGGATGGCCACACTTCGTGGTTCATACTGTGGACATATTGTCAGGAGGGGCCGGTCACTGGGGAAGGCGATCAGGTTTGGTAACGTAAAGGGTCAGAGACAATGAGAAGGCTCCCAGCGAGATGGATTGTCACAGTGGCACCAGCAGTGGGCTCAAGTGTAGCAATGATGGTGAGGTTGACCCAGGTCTGGGCAGTGTTGCCCTCTGTTGTGTACAGGGTCACTATGAGTCAGTACTGACTCGGTGGCACCTAACAACAACTACTTTGAGGAGGCAGCTCTTTCCCAGCCGTATTCTGTGTTCATTTTCCTGGCCTGATACCTTACAATATCCCACTGTCAGTCATAAGGTTTTCAGGGGCTATATGTTCAGAAGGAGTCTGTCTCTCCTTCTTCCTAGTCTGTCTTAGTCTGAAAGTGCCGCTGAAACCTGTCCACCACGGGTGACCCTGCTGGTATTTAAATACCAGAGGCACAGCTTCCAGCATCACAGCAATGCGCAAGCTACCACAACACAACAAACTGACGGACGAGTGGTAGTCTGACTCAGCGTGACCCTACATGGGGTTCTCAAGGCTAAAAATTTTTATGGGAGTAGACGGCCTCATCTGTCTCCCATCTAGCAACTAGTGAGTCGACTTGAAGCACCAACCTTGTGGTTAGCAGCACAATGCCCACCTCACAACATCACCAGGGCTCCTTAACACCTATCAGGTACAGTCATATTCAGAAATGTATCTTAAAACTCAAAACAAATGAAAAAAAAATTTAAACTCAGTTATTGGCCTTTATAAATTATTACTGTTCCAACTAAAGATTCTGTAAGCGAGTAAATAAAGGGAAAAAAATAAGCATTTATCCTGTTTTTCTTATGCAAACAATTTTGGGGGTTACCAAACAGATTACAGGGGTGAGTAAACAAGAGGAAAGTTCTTTATAGGCACATTCCAGCTATTCAATTGAGAAGGAATGATGAAATTCAATCATCACAATTTACAGCCTTAATAAAACAGATTTCATTTTATTTGAAGCCACAATCAGTGCTCTCAGAAGCAGCAGTCAAGAAATCAAACAACGTACGGCCCTGGATAAACCTGATCTTTAAAGAGTTAAAGAGCACAGCTGTTCACTTTGAAGACCAAGGTGGGTGTTTTCAATCACGTTATATGCATGGGAGCTGGATAACGAGTAAGAAAAACCGGAGAAGAATTACCGCATTTGAACTGTGGTGTTCTGGAAGGACATTAAAAGTACCGTGGAACTGCCAGAAGAATAAACAAATCTGTCTTGCAAGAAGTATAGCCAGAATGCGCCTTAGAAAACAAAGGTGGTGAACTTCTGTCTCATGTCGTTTGGACAAGTTGCCAGGTGGGACCAGTCCCTGGAAAGGACATCTTCTCGGCAATGTAGAGGGTCAGCAAGAAAGAGGAAGACCCCCAACAAGATGGGCTGACACCGTGGCTGCTGCAACTATGGGCTCAAAATGTAACAACTGTGTGGATGGTGCAGGACGGGGCAGTGTTCTGTCCTGTTGTGAAACAGGGCTGCTATGAGTTGAAACCAACTCGATGGCACCTCATAACCACAATGAAATACCAGGTCTAGGCAATGATAATGAATGGCGGCTCACACCATTAGGTGAAAGTGACAAAAGGGTCAGGCGGATAGCACCTAAACACAGTGACCAAAGTCACCTGGGGGGAAAGACAGCCATGCCAAGCTTTGCTGCTTTCCTGAATCACAGCAACAAGAAAGCAGAGCGCACTTCCTTGGTATTCTTGTAAGAGTGATGATCTGACACTGAGCAAGCATCCAGACTCAACTGTCAGTGGCAACCAAAGACAGATGCATTCTGGAGGCATACTGGTCCACCACTAGGAAGTGATTCCTGGTCAAGTCCCCAGAGGTGAGATGCAGGAAGCCTTACTTACAGGGCCAACGGATGGCAGGGATTCCTGGGAGCGCAGTGGGTAAGCCCTCGGCTGCTAAGCTAAAGGTGGGCAGTCTGAAGTCACTCTAAGGAAGAAAACTGTAGTAGTGGGAGTCCATCGAGATGGGGCCGCTCTAGTCTGAAGCATGGAGTCACTGAGGATTGGAATGGACTTGACAACAGCAGGTTCCCTACAGGAAATTCTGGGGCTAGAGAGACACTGTAAACAGCACCAGGGAACGCAGTTCACCAGATTCCAAGTGGAGCCAATGCTACTGGACGAAAGGAGACCTGCTCGACCGTCAAGAGAAAGAAACCAGGGCCACGTGGGGCCCTAATTTGCACTCTGATTTAAACAACCCATCTGCAAGAAACATATTTTTGAGGGAAATGGAAACATGTAAACAGTGACTAGGTATTAGATGGTGCTGGTGCCGTAGGGTACGCACTGGACTGCCAGGTTGGTTTAAAACACAAGGGTTGGTGGTTCAAACCCACCAGCCATTCTTCAGAAACCCTACAGGGTCGCTGTGAGTCAGATGCGACCCAACAACACTTAAACAACAACAAGATATGGAGTCTGGGTGGTGCAGCGTGTGAAGCACTGGGCTGCTAACAGGAAGGTTGGAGGTTTGAACTCCTCAGACACAGTGCAAGAGCAAGATGAGTCTGCCTACTGCCTCAGAAACCAGGTGAGCAAGTTCTATTGTATGCTACAGGGTCGCTACTAGCTGGAACCAACTCGAGTTGGTTCCAGCTAATAGTACTGAGTTTGCCTTTTTAGGTTTGGTTTAAAGAGCTATTGATAATTTTTAATAAGTGTGATACTGGTATTTCATTAGGTCTTTTTAAAAAGGTGTCTTAATTTCTTAGAGAATAACACTATAAAGTCTGGGGATCCCACCTATTTGGCCTGAGTTGACCAGGACTACAGAAATGAAAAGAGCCCAAGATTTCAGGACGGTTGAAGCTGAGGGTGTTCTCTCTGCTTCAGTGTGTGTTTGCCAAGGTCCATAATAAAAGTCGGACACAAAGAACTCAGCTCACAAGTCTGCACACCTGGTTGTTGGCATCCGTGAGGTACCTCACTACGACAGGCACGAGGTACTCCGAGAGCACTGTTGGGAAGTCAGCTCGGTGTTCTTGCAGAAACATGGCAATGGGAGGAATCTGGTCCATCAGCTCCGTCCGCACAGTGGGCTCTGTGACAGGGAAGAGATTTCAAATGGAGGAGAGAAATGTTACAAGCAAATCCAGAATCTTATAGGGTATATACTAAGAGTGTCTAGCTTTTCTTACTAAAATACTTCATCAAGGAAATTAGACAAATGCCGTTTAATAATCATTTCCCATTCAGAGTATTTATGCTACAGACAGGCTTAAAAAGCTAATAAGCTATACGGCAATATAAAAACATAAAAAGAAGAGAGAATGACAACTCTATTAAAACAAGCCATATATAAATCGAGGAGAGAGAAGGATTCTGCACTCTAGGCCAGCCTCCAAAAGCTATTACAGCTAATGGCCTCTGTGCCAGATCTATGGACTGTGCTTACTGAAATTCCTGCCAGGATGTATACATTATAAATAATTCTCTCATAAATGCGCTCCCCCACAATCCATGCATCCCAATTATTTCTAAGGCAAAGCATTAAACAGAAGAGCGGGTCGAGCTCCAATACACCACATTAAATTTAACACAAATATATAATTGCTGCAGCACTGTAAAATGGTGACTCGTTTACAAAGAGAATCCATTTAAAGACTCAAAACATCTACATGGACCTTTTTAAAAACCTTGTGTCATATTCATATGAATATTTTAAGCTAATATGGGCGATACAGGGAAGAAAAGACTTATTTTTTTCTATTTTCAGTCTGAATGATCGTGTTCTAAAGCAGGCCGAAGATTTCGGAAACTTTCTTATGTTCGCCATTAATTACGGATGCAAGGAAGAGGGGCTCCAGAGCAGCTGTCAGTACGCAGTGTCCCAGGGTCTGCTCCCCAGCACTCTGTTTCCCTTTCAGAGCAGCAGTTGTGACAAGGAGGAGAGAAAAAAAAAAAATCAAGGTGAACTGACAAAGGTCATGTCGCTGTTGTTTGGCGCTGTCAAGCCAGTTCCCACGCACGTACAACAGAAGGAAACCTGCCTGCTCTAACGTCTTAACAATTGTTGCAGCAGCCACGGCGCCAATCCATCTCGCCTGGGGTCTTCCTCTTTTTTGCTGACCCTCCACTTTACACTAAATATGATGTCCTTCTCCAAGGACTGGTAACTCATGATAACACGACCAAAATATGGAGGTGGTATCTCGCCATCCTAGCTTTTCAGGAGCATTCTGACCACTACACTGTCTCCAAAACAGATTTGTTCATTCTTCCAGGAAGTCTGTGGTATATTCAATATTCTTCGCCAACACCATAATTCTAAGGCATCAATTCTTTCTCCAGCCTTCCTTACTCACTGTCCAGCCTTTGCATGCATATGAGGCAACTGAAAAGATCAAGGCTTGGGTCAGATGCACTTTGCCTTCAAAATGATATCTTGCTTTTTAACATGAAGCGGTTTTGTGCAGAAGTTTCACGCAATGCAATATGGCATTCTGATTTCTTGAATGCGGCTTCCATGGGTGTTGATTGTAGATCCAAGTAAAATAAAATCCTTGACAGCATCCATCAATCTTATATCTCCATTTACTGGCCCAGTACTGAAGATTTTTGTCTTCATTTGCATTGAGGTGTAATCCACACTGAAGGCTGTGGTGTTGGATCCTCAGTAAGTGCCTCAACTCCTCTTCTCTTCCAGCAACCAAGATTGTGTCAACCACATAACCAGTCATTTTCCTATCCTGACGCCATGTTCTTCTTCATATAATCCAACTTCTCAGATCATCTGATCAGCATACAGACGTTGAACAAGTATGGTGAAAGAATACAACACACGCCTTTCCAAATTCTCAACCACATAGTATCCTCGTGCTCTGGTTGAGTGCTTGCCTCTTGGTCTACATACAGGTTCTGCATAAACATAATGAAGTGTTCTGGAATGTCCAGTCTTTGCACTGTTATTCATAATCTCTTATGACCCACACAGATCGTGAGGAAAATGAATGACCAAACTTGTTTTCATCCAAAGAGCTGCTTTAGATTTGGAATTTCTTCGCAAAAGCAGTCTGACAAAGCCCATGCAACACAAAAGGCTTAACTGCCAAGGCAAATAGCATTCATAGCCATTAGTCAGTGACAATTCTAATTGTCTAAAACTACGAGTAATATTGAGTCACATGCAAATAAGAGGCCCATTCTTCATGACAAGGCCGACTCATTGTCAGACACTGCTTAAAACTTATCGATTAATAAACCGTTTCTTAAAAAATTAGCTACCGCTGGCTATGCATAACTTCTTGGAGAAACACAAGTAAAAAAGTGAATTATACAGTCATCATACAAACCTGCATCTTCTGACAACCTAACCACAAGCTCCAATACTGTTAAGAAGTCGTCTTCATTGCTACTGAAATCCCGGAAGATATCAAGTAGTCCTCTGGCAATGATCTGACTGTAGAAACAAGAAATGGGCCATAAAGTTATTGGGCATCACTGACTTTCAGACCCTGCGTTAAGAGCAGATGATACAACCATGGAGTTAAAGAGAGCTGGCCTCCTCTGTAGGGGGAGGGGCAAGACCATCAAGACACATCCAGAAATGGCCAATGCAAAGTGAGTCAAAACCCTGTCCTCCTTCAGAGATGATGATGTGGAGAGATGGAGCAGCTGGGGACTTTAGATCCAGAGAGGGAGAGGGGGCTGTGTGCTGAAGACCAGGAGGGTGTGGGGGGCAGGCTTGCAGGGTATACCCTTTGGTTGGTTGATGATGCATGGAGGGGATTGTAACCATGGCAATGAAACGATATACAATAGAATGAATGTAAAACTAATGTTCTCCCATGTAAAGTATCACATAATTCACAATAAAACATTAAAAAAAAAAAAAAAGAAAGAAAAACCCTGTCCTTTAGTCTGACTGTGGATACAGGTCAAAACTGTTAACTTGCAACAAAACCGAAAGAAATACTTGGAAAAGGGGGCCCACGATGGAGAAGGTAGGGGGTGGGAATACAGGGGAAGAATTAAGAAACCACGAAGTGAAGGAATAACCAACTAAGAAAACAGTAAGGATTAAGTAACCAATCAGTGCCCAAAGTGGCATCCAGGGCTGCCTCGATGGCTGAATGAGGAACTGGCGACCGTCAGAGCTGGGAGGTAGCTCTCTGGACTCCTTGTTTTATTTCCCATATTCTTGTGCTGATGCCCAACAAAGGTCATAAGGTGGTCAGGTGTCTACTCTTGTTTTGAGGATACGGAGCTGAGCAAGCACACCCTTCCTTCTTCACAGACAAGTGTGGTGGTGGCAGTCACCAAGAGGGAAGAGAAGCCCCCTGTCCCCCTCCTCACAGGCCCCACAGCCTGCAGCAGAGTTCAGAAGAGGATCGAGCCAGCCGGGGCTAAGGTGCAGGCCTAGACTTCACCCAGCCAAGGCTAGGGTGGTCCCCGCAACCATGACAAGCAACAGCTGGACCAAATACTCTTTGGACATCCCAAACAGGGAAGACAATGTGCTTGTCCCAGGAGGACCCAGTGATCACATCCCATGTGCCAAGCTGACACATACTAAGGTGAGATTTGAACACTGACAGTTATGGCAGGAAGCCTCCGGGGAGAGCAGGTGCAGAGGCTCAGAAGGCCAGTGTGAATGGTGCCTGGACCAGCCAAAGGCAGGAAACCAAAAACAAAGCGGAAATAATCAAAACCTCTTCAGACATGCAAACGCTGCGAGACTTTATTCCCAGCAGACCCGCACTAGGAGACATGATCAAAGTCCTTCAGGCAGAAATCGAATGGCAGCAGATAGGATCTCATCTGAGCAAGGGAGAGAAGAATGCGGGAAAGGCAACTACCTGGGTAAATACGCAAGGCTTTATCTTCTTATTGAAAGCACTCTGAGAAATAATTGAACAAAATAAATTAAACAAAACTGGTGAGAACGTGTTGTGGGATTAGAGCATATGTACAGGCTGTCCTCTCGTTACGGACGCCTGTCTTACAGATAACTCCTACTTGTCCTGTAACATTACGTCAAGCTGCCCTCACTTTGAAATGACTCAACCAACCAAGCGCTAAACCAAACGAGTCCCTCAAACAGCGACCTGAGAGGACGGAGTAGAACTACTCCGCAGGGTTTCAGGGGCTGTAAATCTTTCCGGAAGCAGAGTGCCCTGTGCGTCTCCTGAGAGGTGACGCGGCTGGTGGACTTGAACCACCAAACTTACAGGTTAGCAGCCCAATGCTTAACCCACTACACAACCACAAGTTCTTCATCCCCACCCCCTCACTGGCTGCCCATGCAGCTTTTAAATCATGGGAGAGACTTCCAGCCCTGGCTTGCACTAAACTAAGGCGAAATAAGAATTGTCCACACCTGTTCTGATGCAGCTACAAATTCCACTTAAGACTTAAAAGAAGGATCTCCTTGGTAAGCTGGAGACTGCAGCCTACATTAATTAAAAGGCTAACCAAGCAGCATAAAGAGCAGGAGAGAGGGGCATGGAGGCATATTAGCAGAAGGCTCTTACACTCGGCACGAGGTGATAAAACAGCACTTGAAGACAGACTGTGACAAGGTACATAAACGCACTAAGGCCGCCACAAAAACAGCAAACACACTCAGGAAGAAGATGCGTTTCTTTTAAAATAATGTATCCAAGAGAAGGCAGATAAAGGATACAAAGGGAGGGACAGAAATGTGACAAACAGAAAACGAACAGCCAGAAGGCGGACTTAACCATGACCCCCAGCAGAATAATCACATTAAATGAAAAGGGAGCAAACATTCCAGGTAAAAGGTGGAGACTATCAAAAAATACCAGAATTCAAAACAAGAAACACATCTTAAATATATTAACGCAAGGAAGCTGCGAAAGGAAAAGATACACCATGCCACTGTTAGTTATAAGAAGGCGGCAGTGGTTACATTAATGCCGAAGAACTTACAGTTTAGAGCAAAAACAATCACCAGGGACAAAGAAGCTCACTTCCTAATGATAAAGGGGGTAAAGTCATTAACAGGACATTCCTAAATGTTGATCTGGTGTGGCGCTGTGGGTTAATGCACTGGATTGCAAAATCAGTTTGAACGGCAATGTTGGTGGTTCAAGCTCACCAGCCGCTCATCGGAAACCCAATACAGGGCACTTAACAACAACAAAATATGTTTATCTAGTAACAGAGCTTCAAAATTTATGAAGAAGAAACCACAGAACGGCAAGGAAAAACAGATAAAAGTCAACGTAGGACCCACATGTGTATGGCTAACTGGAAAAACTGAAGTAAGGAAGGAGAACCTTTTCAATCAATGGCAGGGGAGTAACTGGAGATCCCTATGGCAAAATAAGAATCTTGACTCTCTCCTCACACAATACGCAGCAATTGGTTCAAAACAGATCACTGACCTAACAGAACTTTACTGTTGTTGTTGTTGTTAAGTGTCATCGAGTCAGTTCCAACTCATAGCATCTGTGTACAGTGTTTCCGAGGAGCAACTTGTGAGCTTGAATCACCGACCTTGTGGTTCACACCAACCTTGCAGCCCAGTGCATTACCCACAGCACCACACCAAACTCTATAAAACTGCTAGGAGGGTTAAAAAAAAACAAACCAAGAAGAAAGCGTTTGTGACCTTAGGTTAAGCTAAGGATTCTTAGGGTTCAAAATGCACAGTGGCTCCACATAGTAAGCACTGGATTGTGAACCACAAGCTACGTGGTTCAAGCCTGGCAGCCTTTCTGTGACAGAAAGATGAGGCTTTCTGCTCCCACAAAGATTTAAAGCCTCAGAAACCCTACAATTGGTCTCTGTGGATCAGAATCAACTCGATGGCACTTAATAATAACAACCACAAAATGCATAAACCACCTAGGGAAAATGGATAAATTGGACTACATCAAAATTTAAAACATTTGTTCATCACACCACACAATTAAGAAAATAAAAAAGGCAAGCCATAGACTGGAGAAAATATCTAACAAAAGACCTGCTTCCAGAGTATACAAACAACTCTTACAACACAACAACAAGGAGATAAACAGGCCAGGTATCAGAAGGGAGGGCTATTTTAACAGAACCATCACACACAACAATATACAAATGGTCAGGAAACATAAGAAAATGCAAATCACAAAGAAACTCGTAGATGTACCTTAACCAAGTTTAAACCACCAGTTTATAAGTCATGCTGACACATGCACCCCAGAATTGATGTCATGAGAAGGGGTATTCCCCAAAATGCAAAGCTTCAGTCTAAACAACAGAGCACATCCGACAAACTCAAACTGAGAGCCATCCCACCAACCAGCTATCGATGAGTATTAGCCAAGACTATAAAAGACAAGAGACCAAGAAGCAGCCACAGACTGAAGGAGACCAAGGCAACTTTGAAAGACGACATGGCGTCCTAGAAGGGAACCTGAGACAGAAGAACACAGGTGAAAAATCAGTGTGATCGAGGAAAATACTGGCCAAGATAATGGAGCAAACATGAACCCACAGACACTGGTGGTGGGGAAGCAAAAGACCACCAGTGATTTGGAAAACAGTTTGGCAATTTCTTAAACAGTTAAATATATGCTTCTCAGTAAGCCAGTTCTTCTCAGTAAGCTTTTCAGTTCTATGAAGAAAAACGTGGCATCAGGATTGGAGGAAGACTCATTAACAACCTGCGATATGCAGATGATACAACCTTGATCGCTGAAAGTGAAGAGGACTTGAAATATTTACTTATGAAGATTAAAGAGCACAGCCTTCGATATGGATTGCATCTCAATGTCAAGAAAACAAAAATCCTCACCACTGGACCAATAAACAACATTCTTATCAATGGAGAAAGGATTGAAGTTGTCAAGGACTTCATTCTTCTTGGATCAACTATCAACACTCGCGGAAGTAGCAGTCAAGAGATCAGACGACGTATTGCACTGGGCAAATCTGCTGCACAGGAACTTTTTAAAGTATTGAAGAGCAGAGATGTCAGCTTGAGGACTAGGGTGCGCCTGACCCAGGCCATTGTGTTTTCAATAGCCTCATATGGATGCGAAAGCTGGACAGTGAATAAAGAGGATCGTAGAAGAATTGATGCCTTTGAGTTGTGGTGTTGGAGGAGAATACTGAGGGTGCCATGGACTGCCAAAAGAACCAATAGATCTGTTTTGGGAGAGGTGCAGCCAGAGTGCTCCTTGGAGGCCAGGATGGCTAAGCTTCGTCTCTCCTACTTTGGACATGTAGTCCGGAGGAAACAATCGTTGGAGAAGGATGTCATGCTGGGTAGGGTGGAGGGTCAGAGAAAAAGAGGAAGACCTCCAACGAGATGGATCGGCCAGGTGGCATCATTGATGGACTCGGGGGTGGCAGCGGTGGTGAGGTTGGCCCAGGATCGAACATTGTTTCGTTCTGCTGTGCATGGAGTCACTATGAGTCGGTTCCGACTCGATGGCACCTGACAACAAA